GCAAACACACTAGACTTTGTACAAAGTGAATCAATAGTTCATGCTTATTGGCCAACAGTCCAGAAGGGATGACAGAAATCAGAAGACTTGACACCGCTAACAACACATGTCCAAAACATACGCCCTCCCTGCTAAAAGAAATTTAGACAAGGGAAAGACTGCAACCATAGAGCTTCCATAACTAAGCCTGCTTAATCCGTGTGTGTGTGTGTGCACTGAGCCTGAGCACAACTACCTTAATGAAAAGGAGAGGACAGAGAGAACCGGCAGTGTCCAGAAAAGTCTTGGCAGAGGCAATGAGCTCTCTCTCATTCTGTCCCTCACTGCCTCTTGTGCACACATACATTTGCAAAGACATACAGAAAATTGTGTCCCTTTGGATATCCAAGTTTTGCTGAAATTCAGGCTGACATTGAGCTAATACCCATACCCAGAACAAACATGGACCCAACTGCATGGAACAAGAACGTCAAACCTTCCAGTCGCACCAAGGCCAAAATGTACTTTTAATGGCAGCTTTCAGTCTTTTTGAGTGCCAAGTGGTGAGAGCTTCCACCACGGGAATTTTCAGTCATTTTAGAATATAGACTATAGATCAGAATTGTATCTTTACTGTACTCTGGTAAGCGAGAAAGGAAAAGAAAATTATTTTACAAATTTTTTCAAGTCCAATACCATGAATGCCACTGAGGACAGATTGTCTGGGACTGTACACCATTAACCCCATTTAAATAGTTTCCCCTCTCTATAACGGAAGCCCTGTTTCAGACTCAGTTATGCAAACTAACTTGTTTCAAGCATACCGTGGCCCCTAACGACTAAACTATATGGCTAAGAATGCCATCGGTAACCCAACATTGATCATTGTCACCATACCGATCACTTGTTTGTGCTGGTGTAATTGTGACACTCCACTTGGCCTGGCCATCACTGGCTCTGTCATGAAGATGGTCTAAATTTGCCATGGAATACGATCGGAACACCAGTATGCAAAGTTCAACTTGATTTTTGCAATGTTTTCTCCTTGTTTTCAGGAGTTTACCATTTATTGCAACACTTAATGTCTGTTCAGTTAGTACGTGCCCCTTTCCTTGTCCATCACTGTGGCCAGTGGAGCGTTACATTCTTCTCCTGCACTACAAAACATGGTGTACCAGCATTTTGACTTCTTGGATACATGGATAGCATTCACGCAGACACACACTGAAATACACTTGGCCCCTATGAAAAAACTCACACAGACAATGTGGCCTCCACATTCACACTTACCTCAGTGTCCTGACCTGTCCTCTGCAGCCTATTTCGTCCTCCTCTCTGCTTGACACCTTTTGCACATGTACATGTGTGTACATTTTCATGTGTTGCAGCATGCTTAGAATGTGGTTGTGTACTTTCTTTGTACATGTACCTTTCTGACAGACCTTGGTTGCCCGGGGAACAGCTTTACCACTGAACTGTCTCTACCCTCCACCCTTTCTTTCACACACACACAAACAATCACAGACACACACCCAGTCTTATACCTTTGTGTGTGTGTGTGTGTGTGTGTGTGTGTACATACAGTAGTGGAACGGGCCTCGCCTTGGCTGACAAGCTGGCTGCAATGATCGATGTGTTTTCAGTTACAGTAGAATCCAGATAAAAACTGGGTAGAAACACAGCGGGACAGTTGAGAGATCAGAGATACACGCTGCTGCTCATCCATGTGTCACATGGCTGCAGTCCCTTAGATTAATTCTTGTTTTCTCACTTCATATTTGTTTACTTTTGCTCCACAGAGCTATGTCTAGTTGATTCATTATGTTCACACAATTAACATTTTACAAAACTGAGATATAAAGCTTATCATTTACGGTGGCAGCAACCCCAAATGAGATGTGTGAATGAGCAACTGTTGAGCTGTTCTATTCCTCTCTCTTCCCTTCCTTTCTATTCGCACATAAAAATACAAGGAAACTTTCTTATACATTCAAAGGGACAGCAAAAACACAAGCACACAGGTATGGACACAACACATGTGCTAACACAGCCATTCAGAAATACACACAGTCAGGCTGTAAATGTCGCTGAGAGGGAGGAAATGAAGGCAGCTGTGCTTTTATGGTTTCATCTGGTCTGTTATATTTATCTGACCCTCTCATGTCCTCTCTCCTATACACACTCATTGATTATTCCATCACCATTTTCATGTAAGGTGCGACAGTAAGGTAAAGTAAGTCTCTAGTTGTTGTTTTTTTCCCCACAAAGACTGACTATGCACAAAAGGTTTTTACACACATTCACGCTCACACCTAGGAGCTGCCCGGTGCTGCCCTTTCCCTGCACCGTTGGCTGCTAAGCAACTGTGTGGCCCATTAAAATTATATGATTTATTAAAAATCGATAAAGTGAACAACTGCAAAACTGTTTCCAGCTGTGCCACATATGTACAACTGGAAACCTTTCCCCCTAACAAAAATCCATCTTCTAAGCAGTTTGATTGTTTTCTAATATTTTATCTTATGCATGTAGATAATTTTGAAGATTTTTTGCCAGTGCACTCTTAATGAAAAAATACAAAACCAAGCATTCTTCACCTTGTATATACTGGTAAAGCTAAGAGGCAGTGCTTGGTATTAATATCTTGCATGTTCTGCTGCAACAATCAAATTGCAATAATCCAAATGAGCAGATATCTGTTATAATACAAAAAAAAAAGAAAATGGCAATGCTGAACGCCAACCAAGCTTATAATACAGCTCCCTTAAATGTTGCAAAAGTACTTATCTGACAGATTCAAGCATTACTGTTCACATATTCCTGATATTTTAATGTGATGGAGGCAGTTTCTCCTTGATCTCAGTCAAGGCCGTCTGTGTTATGAATTTCACAGAGCGCTGAAAACTGCCGTGAGCATAGCAGTGGTGGCTGTTTGTTGCTGTGCACATGTTAGAAAGACTGTTACCCTGGCCTTTAACACTGTAGTGGTGCCAAGAAGGAGTTTGTTTCTAACTGTGTTTCGGAGAATCTTGATAAAATGCCAAAACCAAAATAAACACTGCGCTTGAACTTCATGTCATCTGTATTTACAAGCATTTTTATGATGCACAAATAGCTCTGAAACAAAATCTAAATCTTAAAAACTGCAGCTGGAAAGCGCACAGCCCTGAAGTGTTGACCAAGAAACGTTTTTTAAAAAAACAAAAACAAAAAACGTCTGCTCCCTAAAAATACTCCAAAGCTTCTCACTACAGATATGCATCCTGCAGTCCTGCAATCTCCAGGTCAGACAGACGTCCACACAAACACAAGCAAAAAAATTGCTGGACATCAAAAAATGCCCATGCACGCACACACACACACACACACACACACACACACACACACACACACACACACACACACACACACACAGCCCACTCCCCTCAGTGAGCTTCAAGCCTCTTTCGTCTCTTCACTCCTCTATCAGGTCCTCGGGGGAAAGGGAAACCCATGAAATGATTCCTGACATGACGGATCACAGAGCAGCACTGGTTGAGCCGTCTGATATCAACACTTTTCTGCCTGACTGTGGACAAGTAAGACAGGGGGATTTGCGATGATTTCCCCTGGCTGTAGCTCTAGCTGGATCTGCTCTGCTGACTGAAGTTACTGAAGCTGGCCCACTGTGCAAGTTAACCCATAGAAATGCTGTGAAATGGAAAACTGGTAACTTCACTTCCCTTCATATAGTGTATGGAACCTGCTTTTAAATCGCATTTTTAGGTTTGGAAATACATAACTACTGGGGTTTGTTTGTTGCACTTCCTAAAGAGAGCACAAATTAGGTTTTCATCTTGAAGTATACATTGAGAGCATCTGCAACGTAAGGTGTCTGACTCACATCACTGAAAATAAATGTTAGCCTCTATTTTGAGTCTGTGGAGAAGCTGTTTTTCAAAACACGGACTTTGACACAACAAGAATTTACCAATCAATAGAAAAAATAACAAGAACAAAAAGTGTAAAGTTTTATGGCATTTGATGAAAACATATTTTGAATAACATCATCCAAGTACAAAACCTTGCCTAACCTTTGCCTTTAGACATTGTGTATTTATAGTGAATTTGCAATTCAGCCCTTGGATTTAAAATCAGCCCGGTTGGAGATGCCAAATTCCTGTGAGGCAAAAATTTTTGCAAGAGAAAGGCTTGTGTCCTCACAGTTAAAGATCAAATCTCACATTCACCGTGTTGTTTAACACCTGCTCTCAGACAGACACACACATGAACACACCCATCAAATGAGTCGATAGAAAAGAAATGTGAGATACTATACGTTTGTTCTTGCAGCACACATATAAGAGTGACAGCAAGAGGGAAGAAAATCACCTGCTGCGTCCAGTGCAAATCTTCCTATGCATACCAAGTCTTACCCCATAATTTCTCCATAGTTCTAAGTTCTGACATGAACTTAACTTCCTATCAGTGTCAAAAGTGTTTGATGTTCAGGCAGTCTGCTCATTAACATGCTGAGATGCTCAGAGGTGTGAGCCACAACAATATTATTGAATTTTGAGTCTTTGGTTTCCTCTTGCTGTTTCAGTTCAACTCATTACTTGGATATTTCCAAGGAAGTATGATCAAAGTTCTGATTTAATAGATTGTCTTTCTCAGCTCGTCATACATTGCCCTTAAGGACAAATCAACCAGGGCTGGAGAAATGCATCAAAGCATATCAAGGTACCAAATGTTCCCATCGTTTCCATCTATGTATCTGGGGTAGGTGGAAGGGTTCTGTCGTTTTTTTCCTCTCGCTATTCTGAGGGTTATATTGTTTAGAAATATGAATGTGGTGGTGGTGTTTTTTTTATCATCCAACAGAGACATTTGACACATTTTGTGTCTTGTAGGTAAGTCTTTTCTCACTTTGCTGAACATATTTAGACAAAGCAAAGGCAAAGCAGAGAGAAGACAATGAAAGGAAGGAAAACTGCAGAGAGTATTGTGGATTCTTTTTTTCTGAATGAAAAATATCTTACCTTCAAGGATGACTTCTTTGCCAGTTTTTTTCAGTGCTTGAACAGCCTCATCATGTGTGGCCTCACGCAAGTCATAACCATTGACAGACAGTATGGCATCACCAACATACAGTGCCTCAGTCTGGTCAGCAGCGAGGCCCTTAAAAATTTTGGAGATGAGGATTGGCATCTTGTTTTCCTTGCCACCTGAATGACGACAGAAAAAAATCATGGTGTTTCATCTTATAATTATGCGACATAGTTACATATGCTCATTTTTGCAAAGTGCAATTGAAACACTCACATTTTGGCCGTAATTAGCTTCATAAAGGAGTTTGGAATTAAATTCTTTCCCACTTACACAATCCATACAAGGTGCAAGGGCCTGTGCCAAGAGTGTATTCTGACAAAATCAAATTATGTATTCTTTCTCATACCTTGGCAAATGCAGCACTGGTTGAAAATGTCATAATATTCACTGTGACTCCATACCAGACTGTATAGTTTGTGAGTTGTAAAACTAAAAAAAATGAGTGGCTGGTTAGTAGCTGTAACTCAGAACAAAACACCCTATACACTACACCTATTGATTCCAACACTGCACTCATTTAAAGCCACTTCAGTTACCTAAGCAGTAGTTACAAGAGCATATGAGGACAGACAGACAGCAGCTATTGCCCTCCTGTACTAACTTCTCTTTCTCGCTCTCTCCCTCCCTCTCCCTCTCTCGTTAAATGAAGGTCAGCTCGTAAGCTGATGGATGTACCTCTTGCTGTGGGCCTCCACTCTTCCCGAGAAATATCATCATTAATGTCAGCTGGGCCAGAGGCATTCAAGCTAGTGAGAAATTATCTAAAAGAGGATTACATTTAATTAATTTTAAATGCATCTTCCACAGGGTGTTTTTCTGGGTGATTCTTTCCCATTTACCTCATGTGTCTTCCATTGGAAGCAACTGTCTTGTAATCTTAATATAAAAACTACTATGAATGTCAATCACACTAAGTTTTAACAGAGTTTTAGAAAGTGTAAACTTTAGAAAGAGGAATTTACCAGCTTCTTGACCTCTATGTGGCATCAAAGAGTATTTTACTGCATGACTGAGTATGAGAGGTGAGGCTACGCTCTGCACTTGCTGAGTTTCTGAATTATGATGTGGTGATAGACATTTTAAAGTGGCCAAAAGCTTAAAATTCACCCAAATCACTAACTGTTTTTACTCTTTAATTATGTAAAATCCAACTGAGTTTGTCACAGGAACATACGAGGTGTGTCAGAAAAATTCCAGGACTGGTGTCACAAAAGATATATTTTAAACCGGAGCTGAAAATTCCGAGTTTTCCCCTTCAGACGATCAACCAGCACGTCTATAAAGAGATCCTGTGGCGTTTGTTTCGTTCAATGCGCGAGAAGAGGCGAGAGTTGTGCAGGACAAGTTGTGGCTGCTTCACAATGCCCTTAGCATCTGACAGCTCCTGGCTGAGAAGAACATTGCCGTGTTGGAGCAACCTCCCGACTCACCCAACCTGGCTCTGTGGGATTTTTTTCCTCTTCGCCAAGCTCAAGGGGGTCATCAAGGGAACCCATTTTGAAGACGTAGACGACATCAAGATTGCTGTGACGATGGAGCTACGGAGGATCCCAGAAGAATCCTTCCAGGGGTGCATGGTGGCGTGGCGAAGGCTGGGAAAGTGTGTTAGACCCCAGGGGGATTACTTTGAAGGGGAAAACTTGTAGTTTGGATTTGAAATACATCTTTTCGACACCAGTCCTGAAACTTTTCTGACACACCTCGTATAGAGTACATACAGGTGTGTTATGATTATTGTCACTATTATTATTAATATCAACATTATAAGGTGTTGACCAATTATCGGTGTTACCGATTATCAAATCCGATGTTCCACAATGTTCTGATTGTTGGTGTCATCACGTTTGTGCAATGTGGGATTGATGTAGCTACCTCTCTGTATCTGTACTTATCACTCTATGGACTCAAACTGTGTCCAGCTCAAAGCACTGTCTGGTAGTTACCCATAATGAGCAATGACTTATCAACCCTGAAGGATAAATGTTAAAAAAAAGTTCTCTATTAATTAAGCATATGTGAAACACAAAGGTTTTGTGTTGGAGTTTGTGTTATCCTAAGTGTTGATACCAAGATATTAATTTTTAGTACATATAGACCCTAGCAGAGTACAACTCTGAGCTGCAATTCTTATGGGCTTTCTGTTAATATTCTGATATTTAATTTAAAATAAAAGACTGTCCCGTACTATTGCAATCCCAAAATTTTAATAAACAGGACAGCTCTGTTGAAATAAGTCAGCAGCAAGTGATCCTGTGAAAAAAAAACATTGCCTATATGGATGAGACTCAGTGACAGGAACGACATGTACTTGGAGGTTATTACAAACAGCTGCCAGGAAAACTAAGCACAAACAACTTTGAGAGTTAACATAGTCGTCATATTTCAAAAGAAGATTTTCAATGAAAATCATTATGCAGAACAAGCTCACAACCAAAGCAAATACATATCTACAGTATAATTGTTAGCAACGCACTTATTTAATGTAATTATGATATAAGCTGTTAATATGTGGTTCTGAATGCCAATTTGAATATTCTAGCATTCACTGTCATTCACACTCACCCCAATCCAAGCTTTTCCAGCTGGTTGGAGGATTAATTCTGAATACTTTCCAGTCACAAGCTGCTTCTCTAACCTTAAGGTTACCTTTGTCCCCAGTTTATACTGCCGTAACTATTATGAATTGAATTGCTCTATAATCTCCTTTCACTGCATGAGAACTCCACAGTACTAGTACCAATTCACAAACAGCAGACTTATTATCTGAATCAGCTATGTGATGGGTTTAAAGACTTGACACCAACCATTACCTGGTCTAGTGCGCAGAATAGCTCCAAATGATAGGCACAAAATTGAGGAGTAAAAAGATAATAAAGTTGCTAAATACTGAAAGGTAATATGGCAAAAACTAACATTAAATTACAGTATATACCACACCAGCAATGGGAAGCTGAGCCAATCATAAAACTAATGGAATTGAAAAGCTAATGCAGGGAGATGTTTCAGACTTCAGCAGTGACTGCCAGGACAGTGAACTTTGAGCTTCATTAAAACTGACATAGGTTGGCTACATATCATGCAAACAGCTCATCAATGCACTTCCAATTTACAAACTGCAGTTCCACCTTGTAAATGGTTTGACAAGAAGGCAAAGGAGCTTTGTTTCTTTGAGTCAGCCAGAGAATGATAGTAACATTGGTGTGGGAGTGAAAAGGGGATGACATTGGTGTCAAAACAACTTTGGCACCAAAAGGACAAAGGTACATTTAGATAGCAGATGTTCAAATCAATATGGAGATAAAATAACTTGATGTAAGGGATGGTTAAACATTGTTTTTACCTTCCACACCATTAAGTCTGATCTTAGGGCAGCCAAAGGAGGGGATGGCCAACAACAGCAACAAGATACGCTCACAGTAACCTTTCCAGCATTATATCTCCTTGTCATTTGCCTTGCTCTTGTCACATACTTTAAAGTTTCACTCTAGTCTGAAATACCTCTTACTGACATGACTGCTGAACAAACATATTTGACATATAGTAGCAAAAATAACCACCAATATGTCCCAGACTCCTACACAACCCTTATTCCCTTCCCATTTCTACCTTTCTTATTTCATTTTTTTTTTATGTCAGACACAGTTCCGCACCTTCCAGCTGGCAGCCTGTCACTCAGCTGACCTGCGGGAGGCAGCGGTGGAGATTGGGTGGAGCTGCACATGGCAGGTAAATGAATGCTACTGGTTTGTACAGCACTGACATGTACATATTAAGGTAATTTCATGACAATGTGTTTGTTGCTATAATATTCCTTTCAAGGAATTCAGCATGATTAGCATGCAACTTCATCAAATAAGTTGTATACAGTACCAACAAACAACAGAAATCAGATTTACCACAATACTTTAAGAACTTTCAGAAATGTGGCTGGATATTCCTGATGAATATACACAGCCACATACGGAGAGATTTTTAGTTAAAGATTTGCTATGTAACACTGCACTTGAGCCCTGTTAAATGACAAATATATTGTCTTTGTGAACATGCGATGTAGTCTTTTTTTCATTTAGTTAAATGTTACAGTTTCAACAATATGAGATTATTAGTACAACAATGTCTGGGATTGTTCTAAATGTAAACAATGTCTTTCTATGATACCGTGCACTGACTGCTTGTGGTAAAACCCACTGAGCTCGCACCTAAGTGGCTTAGAAAAGAAAAGAAAGATCTGCAGAAACAGGCTCCTCCTACATTTGACCAGCGGGCCTGTCTAGAGACCCGGAGTCTGGCTTCCTCGCCTCCCCTCTTAAATTTAGACATGTGAGTAAAGGTTGCCTTCATGCTCTTCTGCAAGCTGGGGTGGGCTCCCTAAAATTAACACTAGTGGAGTACTCCACTCCCAGCCACATAGCTTTCATCTTTGGCCAATGACAACTGACTGCTGTGGGCTGCTCCTCTCAGCTGTTCACAATGTGGTGTCAGCTAGCCCACAACAACTTTTGCCCTGCTCTTTCATTTAGTTCACCCTGTATGTTTCTGACTGACACTTTTTTTCTATTTCCTCCTTTCCATTCATTTGACCTCTTTGGGTTGCTCCATGTCCCATTTGATCTGTGGCTTGCTCTCTGCCGGCGCCTTTCTCTTTCCATCGCTTTGTTAAAACCCTCCTCCCTCGCTGACTTTGAACAACCAGCTTCACAACAATGTCAAGCCAACGGGCTGCCAGCTATGATTTTGTTTTAATAGCATGCTGTCTGATTTTTCAAAACCACCCATTTCCACAGAGGTGGACATTACATTTATGTCATTAGGGCCTGGCTTTGTTTTGCTGTTGGTGGCAATGGTGGAAGAGCTAAAATTAGCATGTCACCAGCAGCTACAATGATGAGCCATCTTTGCGACATGATAATAATGTGATTTCACAATTATCCATCACGTCGACCCCGCGCATCAGCCAGTGGCCAAGTGACTACCTGAGAATACTAACCTGCCAGGAGGAGGACTAGTCAACTGACACACATGCAAGTTTACACACACGCACTGCATTCAGATTTTAGAATGCACGTCCATTATTTATCACGGCCTTTACTGCACTGATGTTTGTTGTGATGCTGCGTGAATGACATCCCAAGGTGAGCGCCACAGAAGAGTCACAACTTCACCATTATAACCCCAAACAGGTCTAGTTTAACTAACCACAGGGGAAATATGAAATTAGCAACTACGATAGCAGTAAAAAAGACACAAAAGACATCGTAACGCAAGCAAGCTGTGTGAAAAAAAGAGAAGAAATTCTGTGGGTGTCAATGAAGCGTGCTCTACAAAACTAAACAGCTTTGGCCATCTCCGTGAAATCAAATCAGAACATTTCTCCAACTGTGCAACCACTGCACTATCCATTACATGTTTTGTATCTACATATCTGCTCAGTGCTTAATCTTCCTGGCCTTCTCCACATTGAGATCTCTGCAGAGATAGTAGCCTGTTGCTGCAGGTCCAGGAAAGAGGACAAAGAAAGGGGCTTTTATGAGCTTCTACAGAACACAGCACAGGTATGTAAGCTTGGCTTGTAAGATATGGAGAGGTTATAACCTTTTTCTATTGAGAGGTTACAGGAGCAACGCTGGCGATGTGCAGGAGCGGTCTCACCTCACCTTTGCTCATTCAGAAGCAAAATTGATCAGGAAAAAAAAAAGATATTTAAGCTAAACTAGTCGTTTATACCTGATTTTGTAAAAACAGCAATGAATTCACTTCTGTCACCTGTAAGTCATCACAGCCACACCATTAAGTGACATGATGATTCTGTTTTTACTGCATGTGTACGAACTATTTAGACAGTGATTAGGGTTTATATTAAGTCTTGGCGCACAAAACAAATGCTAACGGTGGCATGTTTGTTGCTAGCATGCTGCTTCTCCGGCTACAGTTAACATAAAGTTAACTCCACTATTGGTATTAATAGTACAGAAAATAGCCATATGTCATTTTGTAATTGCGTTAACTTTTTTAACTCCCAAACAGCACTATGCTTTATAACATACACCTCATTTTGCTGCTTTTATAACATGAAGCGACTTATTAAAGTGAAACATCCAGGCTAACGCTGCACCACAGCAGCTAACTAATTGCCATCTCCGGTGACTCCGGGGCACTGAAATGGTTCCCCGTTGAGGTGAGGCACAGCTTGAGAAAACCACAGCTGTCACTTTATATCTGAGCAAAAAACAGCCTTAAATTTGCCGTAAAAGACAATTTGCCTTCACAAAACGTGGGGAAAGTGGATTTTGTGCCCCGCTTGTGGGATTTAACGGACAGTCTGAAGTTAGCTGAGTTATCTGGCTGCGGTGTGTTTTCGCCGCCGTTGACAGAAGCTGCTCCCAAACTTGTGCTCACTGACAGTAACTCGCCGTTCGCGAAGTTTTTTTTCCCTTTTTCTTTTTCGCCGTTTTTTGTGACACTTGTTTAAACTGTCTTTACCTTTAATGCTGATACCGAGTCCTCCAACATCTTGCTTGGTAACTCGCACGGTGCGCTTCACGTTGGTGATGGTTTCCGGGACCGGGGACGTGCTGAGGTTCGGGGGGTCTCCGTTGATAGCGCCGGCGGGACTCGGGCTGGGCTTGGCGGGCTCCTCTGCGCCCTCGCCGGGGTTCACGGTGAGTGTGTCCTCGGTAAGTGTAGCCAACACCCGGATCCAGCGGTCCACGGTCACTCGAAGTTCCAGCAGTCCCGTTTTCTGCGCCTTCATCGCGGCAGCCATGTTCAACGCATTCCTGGAATAACTCTAGACGGGCTGGCAGTCCTGTAAAGAGGGGGTGGAGGGCTGGGGTAGGGGGCATGCAGACACTCGGTTCCCCCTCTCTCCCCCTCTCTCCCTCCCTCTCCCTCCCTCTTTCTCTCTCCGTCTACTTTCTCCTCCACCAGAGAGGTTTTATCCAGTAGTAAGAAGTAGGCTAAAGTTAATTGAGGGTGATACGATTAGCAACGGTGTTGACACACACACACTCAAAGTTCAAAGAGCTTCTTGTTGGGTCCATCCATTAATCAACTGTGTGCGGCTGAGTCACACATAATTAAGTTTTGATTCATTCATTTATTTATTTATATCAAGTGCATTGAACCACCCGGCCTCAGATCACACATGTCATTTGCCATGTGCCCCAAAACACACACACAACACACAAAAAAATCACTGCTCTCTTATGTACAGATGTTCTGTCAGGGAGAAAATAAAATCAATATGCTTCCAAAGGCAAAGTAACTGTTTCCAGTGGAGAGAGCTCACATCAGGCGTGACAGCAAATATTCTTACACTATGTGTGATGTTAACAGAGTAAAGAAGCCCAGGCCTGTCAGCTTTAAACAAAGAGGAATTATTTAGATTTATTAGTTCTTGTTCAAAAAAAAAAAACAAAACTGAGTCACAAAGACAAACAAACAAAAAACACTCTGGCTTGCCTTGAAAGAGCTGACAAAAATAAAAAAAAATAAAAGATTATGCCAGCTCAATACCATGACAGTTCTGGGCTTTTACACAACAACTTCTGCAAACTGTTTGTGGGAAATGAAGAGCTCTGTTCTGTAATGAGCAAAATCTTAATGAAAGTCAGACACAGGATCGGTGAGATGTTCTCTGAAGAGTGATTAGTCCAAAGCTTCTGTCCAGTAGGCACTAAATGAGTTGGCAGGACAGTATATGGGCACTGACGAAGCTGAATCAATACTGGACACAGGCCAGAACCCAAAGACCTGATGTGTCAGACTGGGATTTCCACAAGAGAGAAGAAAAACACTTCAAAAGACAAAAAAAAAATAAAAAAAATTTGCTGAAAAGTTTGCTGATTTAAAATTTCAGTCATTATAGCATCACTGTTTATGTTGATAATTTAATATCCAGACATAGTTTTGGAAACAATTTCCTTCAAATGGCTCTGTGTGCTCAAGGTTAGTGCCAAATCTCAGTTCTTCTGTTTCTATCTGCCTTGACTGTAATTATTTTTATTTTTAGTCGACAATATTACATTGAAATTACTTATTTTTTTCACATTCCATCTATTCAATCTATCAAGCAATTCTATGTGATTTGCAATAATTTCTGCTTCAGACAAACCTCTAGTTATAACTTTTCAATTTTTCTTCCAATATCCCATGGACCAGATTTAATGGAAAATGCTGAAAATGCTGTGTAGTATATATGTAAAACTGATTTGTAATAACCTACGATTTCAGCAGTAATAAGCCATTTACCTTCAACTCAACATAGGCCAGTGCTGCACGATCGTGGTGACTCAGCAGAGGTGCACTTAATTGCGCAGAGTAGACATTAACAACATGCATGAGTCAACGAAACAAGCTGATGAAGCAGTCCAGATTGCTTGTGCTCTGTTGCATCTGCAAGTAATCTGCCAGCCTCTCAGCTATGTGTGTGGCAGCCTATGTTTGCATCTGCTTCACAGCAGGTGAAATAGCAAAGAAGTTCCAGCACCCAATTTTAGAAAACACTCTTCTGGGTGGGCTGGTGAGGGGCAATTTTTACCTTAATGAAAACAAGTTTGGGGCATTGACTGAAGATTGCTCTCAACCCACACAGATGGTCTAAAGATGCTCATCTGATAATAAAACTTCTTCAAAACATTTAAACAGCAAAGCCCCAACCTTAGCTGCTCATTTGATTTGTAATTGGCTGATGTTTACTGCCGTGCATGTTGAGGCAGTAACTTTATTCCCAGTGACAGAATATTTGCAGCAGTTGACTATAATGTGCAGGCTGCACAGTAAATATTGAACATGAGTTTTTAAAAGGTTGGTTTCCAATCTTCTGTCTCCCTCTAGTGATTGAATAGCTCCATTACCTCAGCATACGCAAATGTTTCACTAGCACTGCTTTCTTTTGAATATGACATAACCAACACCAGTAGCTTCAATCTTTTTTTAAAATTTTTATTTGAAACACATTTAACAACAGGTTTTGCTACAAAAGAAGCCAAGAGGGAAAACAACAATCTTTTTGGATTAAGAACAACAATTTCTGACTTTTTGCTAGACACTTGTAATATATTAGATTTTTTAATCTGAAATAATCTTAAACTGACCTTGTTAAAGAAGACGTGTATTTGAAGGTACATATAATAATATATGTCAAACAAAAATTAATCTCCTGAGGATAAGATTGTTGATTAAAATTATACTACCACAATCTGTCCCAGGATTAAATGCACTATAGTTATTAAGTTCATATCCAACCATATGTCCACCAAAATGCATGCATTTTTTAAAAACAAGTAACTCTGGATAGTACTGATTTTGAAAACACAAATAAATATATTTTTAATCCAAAAATTACCAAAATGAAAAAGACATTGGAATGAAACAGAAATAGCCTTGTGTTTTTATCATGAATCATTTTAATTTGCACTCAAGGGCAATTTCAGTTGTCCAGCTGGCGAGGATGAAATTTTAATTTAAAGATAGATGAAGAGATATCTACTGGGAACTAATCAAGATACAACAATTATAGGTTTTATCAACAAGAACAAGGGCAATTTTATTTATTTTTTTTATTAATTTCTTTAAATTAAATAATTTATGCCCTAAAAGTGGTGGTGAACGGAGTTTAGCAGTTTAGAATGTAGCTTCAATAATTCAAGAACCTGGAGGGTTTGAAAAAAAATTCTGATAGGTTTCTACAAGACAGAAACTATTTATTGCTCCAATAATAGTATTTTTTTGTTGTTGTTTTGTTTTGTTTTGGTTTTTTTGTATTAGCAGCAATTTCATATGATTTCAATGGTTCCACACAACAGATCTTTGGCCTGCAGGTACAATGAGTGATTCAATTTCAGAATTCACATCAATGTTTTCTACAAAAACGACAACTGTGATAAAATCACTGCGTGCCAACTGAGTTTTCTGTGACACCAAAGAGCCATGTATTCCCCTCAGGAGTTGGTAGAAAACAATAAGAAATGTTAGAAGGACTTTTCTTTATAGCTGCCCCCAATCATAAGTCCAAATAAATTGTTACATATGTCTGTTGTATGTGTACACTGGAAGCTGTTAGCTAACATTTCATGCAGCGATAATCTAAATCTATGTCAGCTGGTTGTTGTGTCAGCTATTGACCATAAAACTAAATGATTCAAATGGAGATTTTTTGTCTCTATCAAATGTGTATAATAGATTTAAAAAACAAAAACACTTTTAACTAAGGAATCTTACAAGGTCTCACCATAAACTTTCACCACCATTTGCTAGACACAGACACTCATATGTACGGCTTATCACACGTATTGAACAGCACATTTAAACGTCTCCGCAACAATGAACGGGAGGCTTCAACGACTCGAGCAGCGTCTCCATCTAATGATGTTTAGCATTATGACAAAGTGTCTGACCATCTGACCTCTTGTCTATACATCTGTCAGTCTATTACTGTGTGATGTGAGTGGCAGGTGGCCAGCCTCTCTTTCACAGTAGCACGGCTTAATATGTTTTCAAAGCTTCAGTGAATGGAACAGCGGGATTTGTAAGGATCTCTCACACAAAGAAGAATGGATGTCTCATACAGAACACATTTGTAGTCTGAAGTTTATGTAGTCATGTATAGTAGTTAAAAGTTGCTTGTCATAGGTGGACATAAGCACAGTGTCATTTCTAAGTATAGGGACTGCGGCAAATATTTAAATGTGAGTCTGTAAGTGTGTTTGAGGGTGTTTACATCCATACTGAAAGACTCAGAGCCTTAATACACATTTTCTTCCAATGTCCTTGCATTGTACTGGCTGTTTTTTCCAACTTCTGTGGAGTAGAGCCAAAACAACTAAAACGTCATTAGTGTTCATGAGTTGCAATATATTCTAGCAGAGGGTTTTATCCAAATATACCTCTGCCATTTGGTGCTAAACATAACAGCTGTGAAGAGTTATGCTGTGGTTGTGTGTAAAAATCCAGTAGTAACAAGAAGCCACAGACAAGATAACAAACAATAACTGCAAAACACAGATGCCATACACTGTAAAAATAAAGAAATAAATAAAAACATACAGATTTTTTCCCCCCCAATAACAGCTAATATCAGTCAGGCATTTTAAAGAGGATTTAAATACAGTAAAAATGTTAGTAAGAATTTTAGTAAGAATAATTTTACAGTCAACATAGTAAGAAAAAAAAAGACCATTTATAATAAATTCAGTTGTTTGATATGGACATTATGTACTGTCTTGGTCTGTTTTTGTAGTGTTAACATGTAAATAATATTTTGCTAGACATCATCTGCAATTTAACAAACAAGGATAATCTGTTAGTGTTGTTTAGAACAGTTTGAAAAGTTATTTACAGTTTTTCAATCCTTAATAGACATAGCTATCCTTTCAAATAATTGCATGTCTTTAAAATCACAATATTTTTTTATATTTATTTTTGAATTGAATTTATAATTATAGTTTAAAAACATATTTTACTGACTTAAATGAAGTAAAGACAGTGTCATTTTGTCATTGGACAGAACTAATAACTATCTGTAAAAATACAGATTTTTGATGTGGACATCATGAACAGTTTGACCTGTTTTCTTTTTACTGGTAACATGTAATTGATAGTTTTGGGGGTTTTTTGCTGTGATTTTATGATTTATTATCTGTTATTTACTAAATGGAAATTCTGATAAATAACAGTAAATGGTTAAAAAAAAAAACAGTTAAAAAAATATGTTTTTTACAGCTTATGTCGAGGATAAGAAGAGGTAAAGTATATATTATATACGTCGAAGTAAAAGACATTTTACATCTAAGTTGTTCAAAAGTTGAAAATACTAAAGAATGTTTGTATTTCTGTTAGATAAATGATATCAAGTGGAATAACAAAATAAATAAAACTAGTAATGTATGCACACTCACACAATTGAACACACTACAACCCCCCGCTTGTCATCTCGGCACCCACAGTTCAATCAGCCACATATATGCATGTCTCAACTCCCCAAAGACAGTGGACAGTTGGGGTGGCCTGCTGATTAGTTTCAATCTCCCCCTGCTTCTCTTTGCCTCCTCCAACCATCCCTGCCTCCCTCCATCCATCCCTCCCCTACTCTGCTAAGGGCAACAGCTCCAGAGGTCTACCATATGGGCCAGTGTCTGAGCGGCTGACTGCCTGCCTCCCTGCAGCTTGCGTGTGTGTGTGTGTGTGTGTGTGTGTGTGTGTGTGTTTGTGCGTATGTGTGTGTGATTCAAACCTTGTGCTGACTGTTTAGCCCGCCCCACCTGTTCCTCTGTAACAACAGACCAGACCTCTCATCTACAGGCCGACCAGGACAGGCTGGTGGATAGATAGATGAACTGATAACAGACAAAGAAGAAAATAGATTGAGCTCGATGTGACAGTAGGGCTTTGCAAGACTCATATTGAAAGTGACAGTCCGATGAGT